AAACTCACATGCCCCGCCAGGAGGCAGAGGGACCACCCTTTCCTGGGGAGGGAGGGGAACACAGATTTGTTCACCTAATACTGGCATTCTCTGTTCTACTTCACCATTGGACCCTAGTCCCAGCCTAGGGGGACCACCTTCCTGAGAGGTTGGGGGAGGAATTTAGTTTCTCACTTCACCTAATTCTGGCACTCCTGTCTGTACTCCTGCACTGGATTCAGAACCTGACTTGGAAAGGCCACATTCTCTCCAAACAGGAGTAGAAGTGGTTGTGTGATTGTACCTATACACCAGGGGATCCCCATTATGAAAGGGCCTGAGAACAATGGATCTAATTTCATCTTTGACTTGACAAACACCAAATCTGAGCCCCTCAATCAGCTCTCCATAGGAATCTGCCCTGGCTCTGGAATGAAACTTCAGTTCTTTTTTGTGCATGAGTTTAGACACAATGAGGAGACAAAAAGCCTACAAGGAAACAGGGGGTTGTAACTGCAGTGGCGGAAAGCTTACACCAGAAATGTTACACCATTTGACTGAAACAGAATTAATTGATGAGTGTATATAGAAAGAGGTAGCTTTACCCTAGGAGCTAAATGCCTAAAGGGCTTATTTTTCTTCTCTCTCTCTTTCAGATCTGTAGAAATACAAAGCAGTTGTGGGTTTCCAGAACAGCACCTGAAAAACTCAGTTTTGCATCTAAAAATTTGCTTCAAACGATACATCTGGCATGTTCTGTTGTTGCTTAGACACAAGAACCAAAACCCTGTGCAGAGAACCCTCTAACCCGGATTCTCCGCTGAATTAGCTGGCACGTAAAATTGAGACTGTGTCGACACTATTGAACAATCCTGGCTTGAGTCGAACACTTGTTCACAGGTACGCCTTGAGGTCCAGATGACCACGGTTACAGCACAGCTGATCAGCAGAGGTGGGAGGTTTAGGTCCAGGTTCACTACACCCAATGAGAATGGCACAACCCTGATGAGACTGGATGGCCACGGCCAGAGTCACATGACACAAGGACATTAAACGAGAATGCCATTTTAAACATATGTTTTAATGTTGTACATGTAACAGGTGAGATTCGCCCTGTATGGCTATACTTTCAGACTCTGGTGCTAGGATGTAGGTCTCCAGCTGCCTTTTCACAGCTCGCTATGACTTACTAGGCCTACCACTCACTGATCAAGGAACTCAGGGATCAGGAGTTAACTTTGGAGTTGTCTTGTGATAACGCATGTCTCGCAGTGATTCCACTGTAGTGTCCAGAGAGCGTCCTTCAGCTGCAAGCTTTTCATAACCCTTCCGCCAGCTAATGTAAGGCTAGCAGTCCAGTGGAGCTACTGCGTGACGGCTCATGTTGCCTTAGGGGCTAGCACACGGTAACTCAGAAGTTAACACACCTCACAGCTATTTCATGGTACTGGTATGTTTCTCTGCTGCTCAGAACACTGGATGTTGGGACCTGCCGTCTCCAAGGGCCACATCCACATTAAAGATGAAGGTGGCTGCAGCTAACTTTATGCTGTGCTTGTTGGGCTCCATGGGCTCCTTGCAATTGCCAATGTGGTTGCGGGTTGAGCAAAGTTTGGGTACCACACATGCCAGCGAGACTCCATGACTGGACGCTGCAGCATGGCTCTGCCAGGATCCCCTGCCAGACTCTATGGTGCCGCTTTGAGCACTGTCCTGCAGGATGTGTGCTGTATCCGTGGACGGGGAAGCGCTGCCGTTTTGCCACTAGTGTCCAAAATCTTCATCTGTGCATAGAGCATGCGACATTTGGCCAAGCACAGCCTTCCTCACCCTATTCAGCAATGGCCTAAGAACAGGGAGGAGAGAAGGAATATTCTCACTACTGATTGCCTTAACTCGGACCTTGTGTTCTCTTCATTATCAGTGCCTCTTGACCTCTTTTTCAGTGACTCTCATCAAACATCCTCCTGGGGGAGCCTGTCTTGCAAGGAGACACAGTCAGAGAACCCAGTTTCTGTCTTTCATCCCTGGAGCTCTCTAGCCAGGAACTCTATAAACCTCTGGAAGAGAAATGCACCACGGTTTGCCTGTTGTATACTCAGAAATTAATGGGATAAGGAACAGACAAAACTGCGCACCATCGGGTCCGCTTAATCAGCCGTTCTTCCAGCTCCCCCCGGGCTCTGGTCTAATGAGAATCTCTGGCAATAGCAGCAGCTGTGCTGGGATGGCTTTTGGGAGCAGCGACCTCACTGTCTTTCTCAAACCACGGGGAGATTCCTGGGCAACTCCCTGAGACCTGGCTTCAGCTTGGCCCCTAACAAATGGCCCTCATTCGCCTCCTGAAGCAAGGAGGGGCTCAAGGACGACAGCACCAGAGGTTTTGGCAGCAGCATCTTCACTCCCCTTATGCAACCCTGCAGGATCCAAAGGCCATTTCTGGCAGCAGCAATGGCAACTGTGGGCTCAGGGTCATCTCTGGCAGGCGGGACCTCGCTATTCTTCAGCAACCAGGCGCATCCAAGGGCCGTCACTGGTGGTGGCAGCAGCAGATTTAGCTAGTTCGGCTTCTCTTGTCCTTCGTCACAGTACTGGAGGGACTGAAGGGTAGTGTGCTGTGGAAGCTTCGGGTGGCAATTTCTCTCTTAAAACCAAGCACAGGGACTGGAAAGTGTGCGGAAGTGGGCTGCATTTGTATATTTGTAAATTGTTCTCTACGTTAATTTCTGAACTGACAGGAGTTGAATAAAAGAGAAGGAATTAGCACAATGATAGAGAGCACCTCACATCACTCTAGAATATCCTATTTACAGCTGACTTCCTGGGAAATATTTCCAGTTCTTGGACACCCGCCAAGTGCACCAAATTTCAGAGAGGAAAGGCCACAACTTTCATAAAAAGTGAATGAGAAACATTTAACTCTACAAGACCAGCAAAAGACGCTAAACGCCTGGGAAAGAGCAGCATCCCCCTGTGACAGTGTGGGGGAGGGTGGGGTGCTGGCGGCTCTCCGCAGGGCACGGGACTGAGGGGCCGTGGGGAACAGAAGACTGCAGTGCAGGAACTGATTTCACGGAGCACAGTGAGGGGGCTCTCTGGGAAAAGGGCTGGGATCTGGGATGATGTCTGTCAGGGAGCATGGGAGGCCAGCATCTTTTGAAGCATGACGGTCAGAAGAGTCTGGTGTCCCAGAATACGTGGGGATGGAAAGAGCTGGGGCAGGGGGGAACTGGTGTCTCGGGTGGCAGGTACAGTGGAGAGGCAGGCTGCAGCCATTCAAGGCCCATGGGCAGCAGAGGGTGAGCAGGTATCTCAGTGCCTTTGTGAGACAGGGGAGGAATGTGGTGGGTGAGGGTCCCTCTGGAAGAGAGGGGATGGTGTTTTTCAGGGAATGTGGGGGATGGAGAGAGGCTGTCACTCAGGGAGCAACGGAGGTCGCAGGGTGTTTATCTGGCGTTGGCATATCCGAGGGGGTATGTGGGGCTGGGAAAGCTGGTGTCTCTCAGGCTGTGGAAGACAGAGAGGTGGCCTATAACATGAAGGTTATAAAGCTGGTGTCCCTGGGAACCCAAGGTAGGGGGGCAGAAGAGGCGCTGGTCATGCTCATAGCCCTCAGCACAGCGTACTGAGATATTTAACCTGCTGGACGGGGAGAGGCCACTGTGGCCTTCCCTGTATAGCTCCACCAGCACAATCCAAGTCGGAGCTAGAAATCTAGGCTTGGGCCCATGGGAGGGAGCTGAGCAGGGCAGGAGCACAGGGAGGCTATGGGCAGCCAGGGTCACTTGCGGAGCATGGGGATCAGGAAGGGTCTGTGGGCAGTGGCCATGACTCAGGGAATGGGGAGGCTGACACTACTAAGGGCCCTTGAAGGAAGAGGCAGGGCTATGGGAGGCTTGTGTTCCTGGGAGTCTGCGTAGGCAGGGGCGGGCTGGTGTCCCTTGAGATCTGTGAGGAATGGGGAGAGATTGATACCACTAAGGGAGTATGGAGGTCACTGACGTGTGGGTGGGAGCTGGTGTCTCCTGGGCATCGTGGGGATGAAGAAATCTAACATAGCTGGGACGGAGAAAGAAGCTTCTATGGGCTTCTTATCCCTGTCTTCTGGGGCTGCAATCTTGTCAGAGCTCAGTTTCTGGCCAGGTCTGTACTTGAATGAGAGACCTGAAGAGGAAAACCTCAGGTAGTGTGGGCAGTGGTGTGGACGCCGCAGTGGGGGCGTTCGCCCCTCTGAGTCAGTGACAGTCTCCAAGCCTCAGGGTGGGGACAGGAAGGGCCGTGCTGCAGGGAGGAGCATGGGTGACTGTGTCATGGTGCTCGGGAGACCCGCGTTATGGATGGTGGAATGTTGACAGATGTGATGTAAAACTGAGGCCCTGACTACTCACATGGCATTTTTCCTGCCAACTTTCAGCCAGCCTAAATTCCCTCTGCAGTTTCAGTCGGATACGGGATTAATTTGCATTTCATGTTATAGAGGTAGTGCGTAATGTTCCTGTGGCCTGTTCAAAGGCTGCCACATCCCACCTCAGAGGTGGCTTGCTTTCACTGATGGGTTACACAATTCCTATGTACTTAGTCTGAGAGCATTTGGGATCCTTTGGGACAAAAGGCACTAGAGAAATGCAAATAATTATTAACTGTTCAGGAGAAAACACTTAAAAGAGGAACCCACAACCAAATACAGCAATTTAACAACAGATTCAAGACATAGAGAGAAGGAACATGAAACAACAGAAAGGCAATTTGAAGAGGAAAGGAGACAGTGAGAAAGGTCCGTGTTTGTGGGCAGAATTAAGGAGATGCCCCAAAACCAAACATGACAATTTCTAGGAGTGTCTGTCTCAGCTTTTCTCTCCTCTGTGCAGCTGAGGAATCCTGACATCTCTGAAATGTTCCTCAAAATGCATCTTGTGATTATGCAGCACATTTATAGGCCACCATTGCTGATGAGTTTCCCTATCTTCCTGGAGTGCCTACACTCTGCACCAATCCCCTCCCCTGACCAGCATAAGTCTTACCGTGCTGCGACCACAGGTGACTTCTTCCCGGGATCTAAAGGGGGCCCGGTAGGTTCCTCCCCCAGTGATCGTGTATCCTTATTCAGCTGTTGTAACCGGGAACTTAGCTCACTGATCACAGTTGGTTTGTCATCCTCAGCCCCGTGGACTGGCCTGCTCTCCATGGGGTCCCCCCATAGCTTGGATCTTCTCTGAAAGAGGTAGCGTGGCCGACCAACACTGGCTGAAGCCAGAGTAGCCGCATGTTGCTGGGAGATGAGCTCACTGTCCGAAGACTGCTTCAAAAGTGGGTCCCTGAAAGTAACTGGCCCCTTGCTGAGCTGGGACTTGAGTTTTGGCTTTGGAGGCACTGGTGGCTTCTCGAGTATAAAAGTTTGTCCATCCGCAAAGGAAGTGTATGTGTCAGTAGGCTCCCCGCTTTCAGAGGACAATGTAGACATACTGGAGACTGTAGAGATGGTGCTTGTGGTCTCCAGGTGATGGTCACTTGAACTTCTGGTGTCCACCTCTTCTACTCCTGAATCTGCGGCAGACTCTGGGGCTACGGGGGCATCAGAGGGCTTCCCTGAGGGTGTTCCACCAGTGGCAGAAGGTGCTACGGCTGCCGCTGGCATGGATGGCGTGCGAGGCGTAGCCAGCTGGCTGATCGGTGTGCCAGGGGTGGTGACTAGTACCCCATTTGCAAACTCATCTGGTGGAGGCACCAGCCCAATCTTGGCCAGTTCCTCCCTGGTCTCTTCATCACTTGAAGACAGCTGAGCTGGTGGGAGGGTAACTGTGTAGGGCTCCGCTTCCTCCTCTGAACTTCCTTGACCAAGTGTCTTGTCAGATGCTGGACTAACCGGAGACTTTCCCACAGGGCTGGGCTCAGTTTCCGCTTTGGGCAGCTCTGCCGGCTCCACGCTTGCTTCAGGAACATCTGGTGTCTCCTCCTTCATCTCAAGTCCTATTTCCTCTTGGCCATTACTTGTTGCATGGACCATGATGAGGCCGGCTGTCTTCTGCTGTGATGTGTCCATTATACTAATGATCATAGATTTCTTGTCTTCGTGTTTTTTCTCTTCTTTCACAGGTGTTTCTGCTCTTGTCTCAGTCTCTTTTCTCAGTGTTGTTGGAGTCCCCCAGTGGCTTTTTGTAGGGGCCAAAGTCCCAGGAGCTGCTCCTGCTGCCCCTTTGGCTCCGGGCGAATATGCAGGTGACACTAGGCCCTCTAGCTCCCCCCTTTCTGGTTCTTTGGTTTGGATGTCCACAAACAGGGGTGCTGCTCGGTCTGAATCTGGGCTCTGGATTGGGGTGGGCGATCTGGATGGGACTTGAGTGGACAGGGCTCGCTCCCTTGCGGCCAGCGCAAGCGCCAGGGGCGAGTTTGGATCTAGGGGCTTTCCTGTGAGCGGGTGGATGAACGTTGAGGAAGAGCTGCTAATTAATGGCTTTAAAGCTGAGACAGGTGAAGGCAGCAGTACATCTCGGCTTCCTAACAGCCGCTCATCAATAGACCTGGACTGCTGCAGGGATGGCATGTCGATGCTGGGGGGGCTCCCTTCAATGGCCCCAACCGAGAGGAAGACAGTGGATTTCCGCCTCTCATCAAGACGACGCTCTCTGTCCTTCATGACTCCAGCTATGGCAGTGGCAAAGGGGATGCTCGAGGGGTCGACCTGAGCGATGCCAGCGTGGTGCTGATACTCGATGCCACTCATGCGATGGCTCCGGCGTGTGGGAGAGGGCTCCCGCGTAAAGCCTCCAGTGATGGATAAAGCTGCTCTTTCCTGAGCGTCCTCTACTTGCAGCTGCTTCACTAAAGGGCTCTTCTTCCTCTGGGGCTTGGTGGGAGCAAACAGGCTAACGTTGAACTGGCCCATGTTGGCGTAAGGGTTATCAATCACTCGCCCTTTCCTTTTCAGCTTCTCTGGGGGTGTGGCGGAAGGGCCAGGCCGGGGGATCTCTGTTGGCTCTACAGGAAGATGAGAGGAGTCCTGCAGGATTATCATGGACCGGGCTCTCTTTTGCCTTTCAGGATACGGGATGGAAGTCCTTGCCTGGTCATACATCTCAGCTGCACTGATAACCTGGGGGAGGCCATGGAGTTTGGCTTCCAGGCTCGGCTTAAAGCTCGATCTTATGGTATCATAAACCCTTCCCGGAGGTGGAGGTGGGGAGAAGGATGGGGGAGGGCCTGTGTCAAAGTAATATGGAGACGGAGGAGGGGGTGGAGCCGTCTGAGGTGGGGGTGGGATTCCATGCCCTTCCCTGACGGTGTCTTGCATTGACGTGCTCCGAGGAAATTTCCCATCCATAAAGGAAGCAGCAAGTTTCTCATCTTCACCTAGGAAACCAGAAGAACAGCAAAGTCAGAATCCCAGAACAAAGGGAGATGGGGCCTGCTGAGAATTCAGTCCTTCCCTGGGCACTGCAAGCTGGAGGTCTGGTGCCCTAGTGCGGGATTCCACTTCCCACTGCATTTCTAGTTTTGAAGCGACCCTCCTCATCTTTATGCTACACGACTAGCCACTAATTTCGCAGCTTGCTCCCCTGTTTGACGAGACAGGGTGCAGGGCAGGCAATGACTGGCTCCCACTATGTCCTTCATCAATTTATTATAAATCCCTCAGTTGGTCCTTTCCACCTCTTCCCTGGCCAGGCTAAATAATCCCAGGGCCAAATCCAGAGATGCTGTAATTAGACACAGAGTCCTTGGACACAGTCACCAAATACCAAGGTGCACGGGAGCTTCCCTGAAGGCAGCCAGAAGGTGGTGGGGGTTGATTAGAGCCAGGGGTGGCTGCTACAATGTACATTCTCACCTGCACCCTCCCATTTTGCTGCTTGCCCTGCCACACTTCTATCTTGTCCCCACTTCTCCTCCCTGGGAGTGAATTACACATATTGAAACTCAGGGGAATGTGTCCAAGGGATCTGCCTTCTGTGCTGGTAAATAGATTCATAACTGCGGACCAATGTATCTCTCCACTACTCTAGTGTTTTGAATACTCAGTGAGACTGTTTTCAGGCTAAGGTACCACTCAAAAGAAGGATATCAGCGCCTGGGCTGGCAAAAGGCAGTCTGGGGGAGAGTAAACTGATGTACCATGTACACTCAGGGGGCCGAAAGAAGATGTGAGTTACACCAATTTAGACTCTTCCTGGTCTCCCCTGTGAATCTGGCCCCTCCTACCCCAACCCCACCTTACACCTCAAATCATCATTTGCCTTCCTGGCTCTGGTCAGCCTCAGCTAGATCTTCCTCAATGTGAGTAACCAGTCTTGGGTGAGCACCGAAGATGAGGGCGCGCCACGGCCTGGCACGTCAGTTACTTTCTCTATTATTTTGCATCCTGTTCTGCTTTTCTAAGGCAGCTGCGTACTGCGCTGGGCAGGCAACTTCACTGCGCTCCAGTGAGCCCAAAGGCTGGTGAGCTACTGATTAACACCCCAGCTTGCCAGGCACTAACTCTCTGGGCAGACGAGCCCCAGGAGTGTTCACCCCATGCCCACTCATTTCTGTTTCATTTGTATTTTAAACACCTGTTTCTATTCCTTTCAGCCCCCGCCCACTTCTATATTTTATGTCCATCTCCTGTGCTGACGTCTCATTTCGTTTTCCAAGGAGAGCGGAGAAGCCTCATTAACTCCATGGCCCAGATGGGGCGAGGGGCCCAGCAGGAGTCAGTGATTCGCCCCAGGTCACTCAGGGAGTTGGCAGAAGAACTGGGGCTTGAGCCCAGCTCTCCTGGGTGCCTGGCCAAGTGCCTTCGCCATAAGGCTACGACAAGTGCCAGGGATGACATGTATCCCCTTCAAACTGCTCATGAATCTCTTCTGTTGCTTCCACGCTAGAGAGAAAGTGCCCAGGGCTCAGATGGATCCCTGGAAAGGGAAGGGGAAGGAGGGTGGGAGACAAGACACTTTCTCCATTCTGTCCCTACCCACCATTCCAACACAGCGCCACTGTGCTGCCTTCTACGCCCTGTAGAACTGCACCCCATCTACTTATCCACACTCATTCCTCATCGCATGGCCCTGCACGCTCTGCTGATGATGCCAGGTCTGATGCCCCAGGCATCCACTTCCCCACAGCCTGCTTCATGCCTTTCTGCACAGCCCTTTTTGAGCTGGTTCACCATGACGCTCCCCTCACCTCATTCGGATCTTCCACAGCCCATTTCTACTGTGATGCCAAAACGCGGGCGCCAACCAAATCATTTTACTTCATTTCATTTATTTATATTATCTATTATAGAAAATAAATAAGCCAACAAGAAGAATATCCATGCTGAGCATACGCCTGTACTGATAGCTGTGCAATCTTGTTCCTGGGTCTGATCCCTCACCTTCTGCATCCCGAACCACCAGTTACTAGCCTTTTTGTTGCATTATGGGCCCATGGGCTCCAAATATCCCCAGCTGGTTCCAGGCCTCCATTTCTGATAGGGAATAGAAACTTCCAACTGTCTTTGTGGGATCTTTCCCTGATGCCTAACATGTAAGTTGAGGTGCTTCTGTCAGACAAACCAGCAACTTCTGAAGCTGTTCACAGTCATGAGTAGAAGAAGAGAAGGCAGTGGTCACTGAAGACAGAGAACACTGGTCTGGGACTGAGGCCAGGTTCCTCCACTCCTCCTTTTCATCTGACTCAGATGGCTCGTGTTCTAGCTCAAAGTAGAGGACACCTTTCTCTGAGAAGCAGTAGTTGTATCCCTTTGCCAGTCTAGGGAAGGGTAGATTAAGATACAGCATGTCTACACAGTAACTTCTTAGTAGGAAGTCCATGACAAGGAAGGACATAAGAAAGCTGATGTCAGATGGGCCACTTAGGTCAAGGTATAAAAGGCCCAACAGGGTAATGAGCCTGGGTCAAAGTGGACAAATCCTCAAGAGTCCAGAAAAGGCCAAGGGGCGAAGACTATCTCCAGATACCTCAGGAGAATCAGACCTGAAAAGAAAAACGTAGACCTTGCCTGTATGCCTGAGGTGTGGCTTGACGATACCACAGACCCCAGGCTGGCCCACCTCCTTCCCAAGATACTCCCTCCTTTATAATCCCAGAAGTGAAATGTATGGAATGGGGAAAGGAGAATCTGGAGGAGTAGGCATAGTATTCGAGTCTGACATCAAACCCAGGAAAAGCCCCACCAGGAACACTAGTCCTGGAAATGCATCCACCTGCTCTGGGACGGCAGAGACAAAACTAAGCGTGGTATTCCTAACAGGCAGACCAAGCAGCATGGTGCTGGAATCCCCTAGACTTCCGCATCAGGTAGATAATGCCTCTGAACTGCTGACCGGAGACAGTCACAGACGTGATCCGATCTTTATTCTGGATACGATCACAGGCAATACAAGAAATATACCCCTAACACAGACAGACCCCCAGCTTCTCCTAGGCAAAAACAGAGCTCTGCCCCTTCTCAGTGAGAAGGTGGCCAAGCGGTGATGGGTCACACTCCAGCTAGCCTGTAGTAATCCTAAGAGAAAGCAATGCTCTGGGCCCTCAGATAAAAACCCAGAAAGACAGATAACTGAGCGGTCCAGAACCCAGCACAGAGCAGTCCAAGGAATATCTTCTTGAATATCACCGTCATCTGGGACAGTCTTTCTGGAATCCAGGCTTGGCTAGCACACACCAAACCCACCACACAACTCCTTCCTTCACAGAATTCGGCCGATGCCACAACCAGAAAGCCTGGGCTGAGTTGCCACTGGCCACATTCCCTTCTTAGATGGTGCAAGAGCCAAGAGTGTTTGGGCCCCTCTCTGCCTTAGGGACGTGGCCCCTGGCTCCGCAGTAACTGAGCGCAGTATGTGATGTGCTGCATTTGTCCTCCACACACCGCCTGAGGCAGGGCAGCATTAGCACCCTCCTTTTACAGCTCAGCGAGTCAGCCACAGACACACCAGGGCCCAGATTTTAAAGGTATCTAGGTCCTACTCGGCTCAGTGTTGCAAGATCTAAGGCACTAAGTCTCCTTTTCAGAACTGACTTAGGCACATGATCCTCAAAGCTATTTAGGCACCTCTCTGCCTCTTTAGGTGCCTAAATCCACCATTTACGCACCACTGAAATTTTCAAACCTGTTGCTCAGCCTCCATTTAACCCTGTAGGCACCTAAATCCTCTGGGTGCCTACGTTCCCAACAATCAGCTCCCTGAATGTTGATGCTGGCCCACAGCCCATGAGCAGCTTGGAGCCTTGGCTCACACCAATGCCATCGGTCTCACCAGCAGGGCCTGATCCTGCTGGAGTGTTCTGAGCACATCTACGACATAACCCTTCTCAGACTCTGCAGGGAGATGGCCGGATGCAGGCCACCAATGTACAAGCCTGCGTTACAGACAGCTAGGACAGGACAAGGTAGGGCGAGCTGGACAGACGGAGACAGAGATAGAAGAGGCTGTTTCAGCTGATAGAGCACGGGCTGCCTAAGCAGCTGGCCTGGGCTCAGGTGCCTGACTCCAGGAGGGAGTTCACAGCTGAGGTGCCCGAAGACAGGCAGGTTTCTTCTCTGGTCCATCAGCCAGGAGCATCAGTCAGCTGCTTGGGCACCTAAGCCCTTCTCCTCAGCATTTCACTCCTGGCTAGCTTAGGTGGCTCCCCACGCAGCCTGCTGGCTTTTGAGGATCCCTTTCTTAGGTGCCTGTCTCTCCCCCTAGCCTGGGGGCCTAGCTGCATAGGTGGAAGGCCACCTAATGACCTTTGATAATAGAATCATAGAATCATAGAATATAAGGGTTGGAAGGGACCCCAGAAGGTCATCTAGTCCAACCCCCTGCTCAAAGCAGGACCAATTCCCAGTTAAATCATCCCAGCCAGGGCTTTGTCAAGCCTGACCTTAAAAACCTCTAAGGAAGGAGATTCTACCACCTCCCTAGGTAACGCATTCCAGTGTTTCACCACCCTCTTAGTGAAAAAGTTTTTCCTAATATCCAATCTAAACCTCCCCCACTGCAGCTTGAGACCATTACTCCTCGTTCTGTCATCTGATACCATTGAGAACAGTCTAGAGCCATCCTCTTTGGAACCCCCTTTCAGGTAGTTGAAAACAGCTATCAAATCCCCCCTCATTCTTCTCTTCTGCAGGCTAAACAATCCCAGCTCCCTCAGCCTCTCCTCATAACTCATGTGTTCCAGACCCCTAATCATTTTTGTTGCCCTTCGCTGGACTCTCTCCAATTTATCCACATCCTTCTTGAAGTGTGGGGCCCAAAACTGGACACAGTACTCCAGATGAGGCCTCACCAATGTCGAATAGAGGGGAACGATCACGTCCCTCGATCTGCTCGCTATGCCCCTACTTATACATCCCAAAATGCCATTGGCCTTCTTGG